GTGTGTTGGCGGATAAAGGCCCATTAGCCGTGCGTCGCAAGGACCAGGAGACTTTCTATTCCGAGTATCCGGATTTGCATCTGGATTGGCTACTTACATTGAGTGCAATCCGACCCAGCCGTTATGAGCGTACTGAGTGCATACCAAACTTGCCTCATTTTGATTACCGGTGCTACTGTCTCTGTTAACCCATCCGCACACAAAGGCGCAGTCGTAAAAGTGTCTTAAGTGGCAGGAGAAGCAGTACGTTATAACGGAGGTACAAGTGCTCTGTATCCGCGGTAAAATAACTGGAAAGAGAGTAGACGGAGTCCCGAAACTCCCTCTCTCTCTCCCCCCTCTCTCTCTCTCTCTCTCTCTCTCTCTCTCTCTCTCTCTCTCTCTCTTTCTCTCTCTCTCTCTATCTCTCTCTCTCTATCTATCTATCTATCTATCTATCCATCTATATATCTATCTTTCGATCTATCTATCTAACTATCTATCTATCTATCTATCTATCTATCTATCTATCTACTCAATCTGCGGACAGAACTGTTTCGTCCTTTGTGGACTCGTCAGCGCAGCACAGAGGAAATGAGGCCGAACCTGATAGCAATGGAAATAAAAATTTCTATCTATCTATCTATCTATCCATCTATCTATCTATCTTTCTATCTATCTATCTATCTATCTAACTATCTAACTATCTTTCGATCTATCTAGGAGTTGAGCACTCTTATGTGGGGTAGTGCGTTTGCTGTTTGCATCTCGCAGAGCTCACTGACTTGTCAGTTTGAGCACTCTGGCAAGGTACGTTCGGGCGTGATTTAAATCTGGCTATGGAAATTTATTTTCATTGCTATCAGGTTCGGCCTCATTTTCCCTGCTGCGCTGATGAGTTCAGAAAGAACGAAACAGCATGCTGTCCGCAGATTGAGTATCTATCTCCCTATATATCTACACTAATCACACAGCAATGATACAGCCAAGCCTCTTCTCTTCTTCTGCCGCTATGCAGAGCTACACTCATCACTGATAGCATTATCATTACTGGTTCTGTGTACACTGGGCATCTAGCACTTCACGCAGCCTAAGGACAGGACAGTTCAAGCCAAGCTAGATTCATGTGCCTTCATGTGTACGGATACCAACACGTGGGTCCATTGTTCAATGATTAGGCGCGTGCCTATTTTGAGTTCCAATCTAAAATAATACAGTTTACAATAAACCAACAGAGAAGCAGGAGACGAAAAGTTGTTTGGGCCTTGATCGTAGAGATAGGTTAGGATACCTCTCACACACAGCATTGAGCTCCTCAGTCGAATACTATCAAGTATGGCGCCTGTGACTGTGTGTACTAGCGAATGCAAATAAAAATACATTACACACACAAAAGGCACAATGGAGGTTTACAGGGTTGTCGCCTGTTGTAAACATCCATTGTGCCTTTTGTGTGTGTAATAGTGCTCCATATTATTGTGTCGAGCCCTCTCCGCTGGCAGAAGGAAGTTTTCCTCCTTGTACATACATTATTATACATGTGAATACATACATACATATACATACATAATTATACAATGTCATGTACATACATACATACATACATACATACATACATACATACATGTACATACATGTACATACATACATATGGCGCCTGTATGTGTGTGGTGGGAGGGGGGGGGGGGGGGCATTAGTCACAGGTGTTAGTCAGTGTGAGCAACAACCACTTGTCTCCATACCGGTGCTGCAGCGTGCAGGTAGTACTAGTAAGCCGCTGGCGTGATGCTGTATTGACCAATCGGCATCGCTGTGACGTGCATAACTCACAGCGGTGTGATTCGTCCGCAAGGCGTGTCTTACGAGTACTTTTCCCGAGAAGACCCATCAATGAACTCTCGTCGAGAGGGTACTGGAAGCCTTGACCCACATATGGCAAGTGATCAACCTTGGGTATAATTAGGCAGTTACCGTAGCTCTCCCTCTTTCTGGCCATGCAAACGTGCAACCTGTAACTGGCGATATACTCATAGGAATACGCATGTTCTTTCATATCAGTTGTTATCGAAATAGGACCAGCACATAACCGCTAACGTTATCTTAAACACGCGTCTTTCTTCCCAGCACCCCGGCCATTTCCAGCGGGAATGGCATTCAAATAGGCATGATTGCAGACATCGTGACATGCAGTGATGTGTACACCGTGACATGCAGTGGTCCACTCCGATTGAGGTAACAGTTCGGGAAGATTACTGGTATGTATGCGGCGGTGTTCGTCCGCGCCAAGCTAGCGAGAGGCAACCTATGGAGTGTATGACATAATAATGTATATCTCCACACAACAGCACCCTTCAATCCGCTGAGTATCGTCCAACACATTCTGTGCTACATACGCGCAAGCCCGCCTACCTTAGTTCGGTAGCTCACTCGTCCAGGCCAGCTTGGCTGGCTAACTAAGGATGGCCGCTGGGTATAAAAGGCGTCGCCTACTGCCATTCCGGAGCACATCACCTGCAACTAGCACTCCAAGTTGGTCCAAAGTCGTTTGAGGTTCGGACCAAACGTTGTTAATTTTCGCTTCATTCTCTTTCTCCAACCCCGGCCGACGCCATGAAGCTGTTACTCGCATTGTTGTTGGGTGTCATGAGTGCACGCTCAGTGCTGGCGGGGTGCCAAGACTGCATTGAACATGAGATCAGCTCACAAGCACGCTGCACCGAGGTCACACGAAAAAAGACCGGAGACTGCCGGTGGGAGGCTGGGCTGGATACCAACGTGGACTTCATTATCGAGGGCGGTGACATCGTGGCCTATCAGATTGAATGGTTCACAGCCGGTTGGTCAGGCTGGTATGTCACCGGTGTTAATGATATCGATTGGAAGTACAACCTCGCCACGACGAATTGTCCAGTGCCCCAGCTGAAGAACCACATGCGTCGCGTCTGGAGCTACTTCTCCGATCACACTCACCGCTTCATCATCTGCAGACATCGCAGTGACTACACGGGCACGCCTGCACCGTGTCCTGATCCCGTAAACTGTGACAGAACAGAAGGTGACGCGCCTGACAGCGGCAAGGATGCGCCACCTTTCTGAGCCCAGTCCAATTCCCATCATGACGTCATCGAGCACAGTGCAACCTCAACCATGCCATGGCGCCCCCTTCAAGGTACATTGTATTCAGTACTAATCACGCAGATAGCTGATCTCCTGCTTCGCTGACACGTACCTTCACATTGTAGTGCACAACAAGCAAGGACAAGGGTTGTTTAGCCAGTTCTATGACACCATGACGACACCTCCCTCAGGTTGCCTTCACCAACGTGGCTCTCCTTAGGCTTACTGGCCTTAGCAAGTACAATGTACATGTAGCTGCAACACAAAGTCGCGTGGTGGTGTTGGGTAATACGGGTATTCTCTCTGTTTTAGTTCATGCTATCTAGACCGTCTCTGTTGTTGTTGTTGTTTTTTTTAATCAATGCCAGCTTTGCTTTGCTTCGACAGTTTCTCTGACAATTAAGTTTTCTCTCTAGATTCTGATTGTTCTTTCTCTTCCCTACAATGTGGGACACTAGCGGGTATGTGCCGACACAAACCATTACTAGCAGGTACTAGTACTTCGTAGTATTTTACTACTCCCTTTAATTTTACTAGTGCCCAAAATAGCCAGCTTTATTGTACGCTTGTCTTCACCTGCATGAGCGCGATAGCCGCTCTTCGGTCAGTCTCGGTCCTCATCTTGACTAAGAGTGGTGTTGTTGGTTGCTGCCTGCTTCAAGTGCTTGTGTGTAGTCCGTCTACTCTTGGTTATGATTGTGTGTTGGAGAGAAGTTCATGTGGAGTACTGGCTACAAGACGCGTGTACATGACTGTACTCTTGATGTCAGTCATAGTTAGTAACACTGTCCCCATGAAACCGACGCCAGTTCCTAAACGGTAGGTCAGAGCCAGAACTACTCCCTGACCAGAGCCACCAGCCAAAGGACTAAATAATAATAATAATAATAATAGCACATTTCGCGTAGTAGAGCACTAAATAAAGAAATTCAGTGGGAGGAATTACCCCATCCGTTACCCTTGTGCCAGATCACACGTTCCCAAAAATAATTCCTTATTCCTTATTTAAGGCCAAGTAAAAAACCAAGTAAAAAAAAAAGCTAGATGATCGTCCCCGTCCGCCCCAGTTTTTGTCAGCGCCCCAAGAAATATTTTATTTTTTAAATCGTGAGTTTTTGCCGAAATCGTTGGTTTTTTACCGATCGCGGATGCAGGAAACATGTGCACGCTCCTGCACTCCAGGTGCTAAGAAATAATTCCGTGACACTCGGTACTTTTGCCTGGGATAGTCTAGCAATGCCTACTACGTAGTAGTACAAGAGACTTACGTTGAACTTGAATAGGTGAATGTTGAGCCAAGTGTGTGCATCATCTACACTGTCTCTACTGCAACTGCTCTTTGTTTAATACTTTCTTTACTATATGGACCACATACTACTAGTATATCACAACGTCAGTATCGATCTGCTGAAGAAAGAAAAAGAAAAAAAGAAAAAAAAAGAAAAAAAGAGAAAAAAAACCTTGATGTTGTTGTGTACACTGTGTGCATGAGAGGGTAAAAAGTAAAAAAATAAAAATAAAATCCTTCCGCCCTCCCCGATTTTTCCAAAAAAAAGGACGATCATCTAGTAATTTTTTTTACTCGGCCTAATATTATCTTTATTTGAGGGATGACCCAGAGGCAAGTAGCCTATCGAGGGGTTCTCCACTTGTGCGATATTGAATAGGTAGCATAACAGGGGGGGGGGGGGGTAGAATAAATAGCCAGACACATTTGGGTCGCATCATGGGAAAATAGTTCAAAAATACACCCAGTTCAAAGCAGGACTTGTGTGTGTCATCCCTGGTCTTACAGACAAACCCACTTCCATCTCATTATAAACGTGCACTCACACTGCTCAGAGTAGAACTCATCAAAACTGCACCCCCACCCAGAGTCCACACACACACATGACAGACCACACTGATACCAGCAGCCAGCAGTAGCAAGCATCCCACCACTCACTGCACACACAACCCAGAAAAGCGCTGAGGTGTGACTTTCAATAGTAGTAAAAAAAAAGCTATATCAACCAGTAAGCTAGCCTTGAAGTACAAAAAGTCATAACAGCAGCACATCCTGCACAGAACAGAGCAGCTACATGGCATGCCGTGCATACACACACACTTACTATACTGCAACGTTCATAAAAGAAGCCAAAATAGAGAGAGAGAGAGAGAGAGAGAGAGAGAGAGAGAGAGAGAGAGAGAGAGAGAGAGAGAGAGAGAGAGAGAGAGAGAGAAATATGGTCAGAACGCACATGAAACTCCTAAATTCAAATGCTAAGAAAGATGCGAATAAAAAACGCAGAACAATATGCCATGCAGTGCCGCTAGAAATGCTGCTCCCTCGCTGTCATGGGAATATTATTCTATCACTACATGATGTATGATGTATAAGTATTAGGTAGAGGTAAAAGAATAGAGGAAGAAACGAGGGAAATCCGAAGAGGAAAAAAGCGAATAAATAGAAAATGTGGCGAAGGGGAGTCTGGTCGCTTACGGCAATAGAGTTACTAACGTTAAAGCTATAACTAGGCAATCAGACTATGACATCATCAAAGAATAACATGCAGTCAAACGAGACATCATCAAAGAACAACATGCAGTCAAACGATGACATCATCATCAAAGAATAACTAAGCAATCAAACAATGACATCATCAAAGGATAACTATATGCAATCAAACAATGACATCATCAAAATCACTGTCAAGAAAGAGGGTGGTCCGTACGAGGTCGGTCACAGGCCACAACACACGAGCCTTATTTAGATCTGCGCGTAAACTTTACGTTACTCACTTGCACCATGACAGCATCATTCATCATCATCATCATCATCATCATCATTCATCATGTTTGCAAGGCCACCCAAAGATGCACGGTTCACTGGCTCAACATATGAGACAAGTGCTGGATTGTCGACACAAGCGTCGGCTTGGAACAAGCGTGGAAACTATAGGAAGTGAATAGAGTAGAGATGTGGAGGGTAGGGTGGGGCAAACTAGCGGTGGTGAATAAGTTAGTATAGGTCAAAGAGTCAAAGCAGATCAACAGCTGACAAGACGAGAGGGGGGGGGGGGGGGGGGGGGGGAGGGGAGGATAAGTAGAATAGGCACATCATTATATATGTGTGACAGTGCAACACCGGTGGTCTGATGCCTGCGAGGGCGACCAACCGGGGAGAGTAAAACGCGCACACACACACACGCACACACGACTAACACAAACACTTTCAATCCGGCCAACTGAAACAGACCGAGCCTATAGTAGACTATGTGTCGGCGAAAGACATGGCGAGCACTGTACGGGCATCGTTCATCAGCCGGTGCACACCCGCATGTTTCAAGGTGCGCGGAAACCAGGGCAAGACCAAACGGTACACATAACTTATGCGCAACGTGATCAGGGAGAGCGAACGGTGGTGACAAGATCCAACAGTACTAATGAACAAGCACACACACACACACATCACCTACAAATGCTATCATGTGGAGGCTGGGAACTAGAGGTTGATGATGGTGAGCAGTGGTGAAAGGAACGGGAAGCAGAAGCCGACAGCAACTGCTGCTACTACATCTACGACTACAGGATAACGCAGCACTTCTCCGTCGACCTGCCGCTTCCTGCAGCACAACACACCACACATTCATGCAAACACACACACGCACATGCGCCCGCACAAACACACCCACACACGCATGCACAGGCAACTCATGATTTAGGATGGGGTGAATTGACAATGATGCAATGCACCCGAGTCGTGCGCATGCTCGGTGAATATAATCAGAACAGACACTGCCTATGTCCACGCCTTTCAACCCCCCCCCTCTCTCTCTCTCTCTCTCTCTCTCTCTCTCTCTCTCTCTCTCTCTCTCTCTCTCTCTCTCTCTCTCTCTCTCTCTCTCTCTCTCTCTCTCTCTGTGTCTCTGTGTCTCTGTCTCTCTCTCTGTCTCTCTCTGTCTCTCTCTCAGTCTCTGTCGCTGTCTGTCTGTCTCTCTGTCTGTCGGTCTCTCTCTGTGTCTCCTCTTACCTGTTCTTGGTGCAGAACTTCCATTGGTGTTTCCTGCAGTAGAATTGCCTTCAGAACTGGCGCCAGTGGTGGTGGTGGCGTCAACGTCGCCATCAGGTACTGTTAGTGCAGCTACTGTTGGAAGACGAGTCAGTTCATCTGGGTTCTATAGCGCAATGGGCAAAGGCATCCCATGTGTACACGGACACACACATGCAGGCACGAACACAAACACACGAACACATATGGACACGCACACACACACATCAGGACAAACACACACATGTACACACACACACAAGGACAAAGATGCAAGGTTAATGGTCATGGTGGTCACAACATTGACAACACCGGGTCCACTGCATCATAACGCCGGGAACACAATTACATGTACAGCAAGCACCAAGGTAAGGCATAGTACAGACTGTGAACAAAGTACCTATCTTGATCAACATGGCAATGCGTGCACGTATCATAGATCTCCTATCATGGGCACCAGTCGTATGACGACGTCACATGCATGGCCTTACCGGCATGACACTTGCTTCATTGTATTCGGGTGGCACAACCATTTGCTCATCATCACCATCTGGACACAAACTGGCTGCACTCAGTGACTGCAGGTCTACAAAAGAAGATGTTACAACAACAACAACAACAACAACAACAACAACAACAACAACATCGTGAGAATAAAGATTTGAAACAGCAACAAGCAATGGGCACGGCAGCAACAATGTTATGACAAATACAAGTACAGTGGACAAGAAGTAGCAGTTGCAGTAGCAGTAGCAGCAGGAGCCACAGCGGCACCAGCAGAGGAAGCAGCAGCAATAGCAGCAGCAGCAGAAGCGGCAGCGGTAACAGCAGTGGCAACAGCAGCAGTAGCAGCAGCAGCAGCGGCAACAGCAGCAGCAACAGCAGCGGCAACAGCAGCAATAGCAGAAGCGGCAGCGGTAACAGCAGCAGCAGCGGCAACAGCAGCAGAGGAAGCAGCAGCAACAGCAGCAGCAGAAGCGGCAGCGGTAACAGCAGCAGCAGCGGCAACAGCAGTGGCAACAGAAGCAGCAGCAGCAGAGGAAGCAGCAGAGGAAGCAGCAGCAGCAGCAACAGCAGCAGCAGTGGCAACAGCAGCAGCAGTAGCAGCAGAGGAAGCAGAAGCAGCAACATGCATGACAATGAGAGCAATGGCAACAGTGATCACGGTGGAGCCATTTATACAGTCATGCAGCTTCCAACAAGACACTACTGCCAGGATTAGACAATTGGGTAGAAAGTAGGTTATAAGGAGAATTCTACCAAGGCCAGCATAGAACACAGTACAGGAAACGGTACCACGCGCTTTCAACACTGCAAACAGACACCAGTACACAGAGTGTGTTCGTGCACGCTCGACAGTGCAAACGTTCACAATGCTGTGCAAGCATCGTCGCCGTGATTGACTCGAACGATCAGATACAAAACAACATGCTCATTCGTTTTGAAAAAAAAGAGAAAAAAGCCCCCCCCCCCTACACACATCTCGTTGCTCTGAGCAAGGTGGTGAGAACGCACACACATAGTCACATACCTGATGCTCTGCTATGTGACCTGGCAAACAGGGGGAGCATGGTGGGGTTAGACTCGCGGTACGATTTCACAACCGCATCCAGGTGCTGGTGGAAATCATCCTGTAGCGGAGACAGTACACAGCACATCATTATGATCAGCATTGCACTTGCTAGCATCAGCCACATCAACAACTGAAGCAGAATCAAGGGCGGCAGTAGCAGCAACAGAAGCAAATGCGGCAGCAGCAGCAGCAGCAGCAGCAGCAGCAAGCAAGCAAGCAACACAGACCGTGATACAGCAATCCATATGAGAGAGAGGGAGTGAGTGAGTGAGAGAGAGAGAGGAGACAGAGAGAGAGACAGAAACAGAGCGACAGATAGATAGGTCTGCCGAAAATGAAGCATGCCGAGGATGGGCCCTGCCCGAAATTTCGGATAATTTTAATCTTTTCAGTGATTGGCGCAGCCCAGCGACCGTTCGGAGAGTTTTGTGAAGATGTATGGATACACAGTAAAACCTGTCAAGGCGACCACTCGGATAAGGCAACCACCTGTCCCAGAAGACCACTGAAATCAGGACCAATGGATGCTACTTCCAGTCAAATGACCCTGGATAAGGACACCACCTGACAACAGAGACCGCACTTTGAAGGTCCCTTGCGCAGTCGTATTAGACAGGTTCCACAGTAGTGGACGGCTACAGCGGAGTTTCGCGTATTGAAAAAGGACGTAATAAAAATATTCCGCTGTAGGGGTGACTCCACCGCACGTCGACATAGGGGCTACACACTTATGTACTCTTGGAGATATGGGGCACGAAGAGGTACAGTTAGACCTCGCTTATCCGGTCCTCGTTTATCCGGATCCCTCACCATCCGGAAGAAAATCGTTGGTTACCAATTTACAGCATATGCCATGCTTACATACAGTATGTGTGTTCGATTATCCGGTTCCCTCGCCTATCCGGATAATTTTCTGGAAAACGGATGTGTGCGGTTATGCGAGGTCTGACTGTACAAGGTGCTGGGCCTCCAGATCATACTGGTATGGTAATACCAAGAGTAGATAAACAAGAGTGTGTAACTCCGGATCTCTCCTGCACAATCTCCAGATACCCCCGCCCATGGCGGAATTTTTTGTTGACGTCACCTTTTTTCCGAAAAAAACGCACTTCTTGCCGCAGAGCAGTGTGAGAGCACGTGCTGGGCACCGACATTGTAATGTAAGCCCGGCCAAGTGCACGAGGCAAAACTTTCCAAAAGACTAGCAGCGCGTGGGTGGTCGAAAACTGACGAAAAGATTACGTCAACAAAAAATTCCGCCGTGGGCCAACCCATGATGTTACCCATCCGCGTGGATCCGGGAGTTGCACACTCTTGTTTTATCTACTCTTGGTAATATTGTAAAACAGGTTAATTTCGGTGTAACTTTAATTTCGGTAATTTCCGTAGAAATACCAGGCACCTGAATTTAGATTACACTTAAGTGGCACAATAGCATGAAGGGAATGTTGGTCACCTAATTCTAAGTTACACCGGAAACCCATCAGGTTCCTGACACCGAAATTTTCATACACCTAAAATTACATGTTTTACAGTACGTACATCTCCAGCCATCTGAAATATACCATCCATGATCTTCGTCACTTTCAAGTGCTCAATAATATCTTGCTCAACACCAGGTATAGCTTGCCTAGAAGCAAGAAAAAAAAGAGAGGAAAGAAGCAAGAACAGGCACGTATATCAAAATACAAACACACACACCTAATGTTACATGCGAAGATAGCCCCCTCCACACACACACAGTGACACACACACACAGAGAAAAGGGAGAGAGGGAGAGAGAGCGAGAGCGAGAGAGAGAGAGAGAGAGAGACACACACACACACACAGACGCACCTTGTGCTGAGAATATAGTTCTCCGACTGTTTCCGATTGCTGACGACGAAGCAGTTTGATCGCCCATGTTGATTTAACATGTAAGCGGCCTGCTCCTCACTGAGTGCTGGGAAAAACCAACTGATGAAACAAAGGACACACAAACGCACACGCGATACCACACACACATCGAATTCAGAATAGCTGTTCGAACACTGGGATTCCTGGTAGTCCTTCTTCAAGGTAGAGAGTTGTTCCACATGTACCACATGATCGTACAGGACAGGCGTGCTGGGTTCCAACTCCAGTCAATCCCTGACTCAATGGGTCACGTGATCGCAGCCATGTTGGGTTCCGACTCCAGTCAATCTCTGCCTCAATAGGTCACGTGACCGCAGCCACATTGGGTTCTAAATCCAGTCAATCCCTGCCTCAATGGGTCACGTGACCGCAGCCATGTTGGGTTCCGACTCCAGTCAATCTCTGCCTCAATGGGTCACGTGACCGCAGCCATGTTGGGTTCCGACTCCAGTCAATCTCTACCTCAATAGGTCACGTGACCACAGCCATGTTGGGTTTCAACTCCAGTCAATCCCATGTCGGTTCCGACACCAGTCAATCCCTGCATCAATGGGCAAGAGTACATGAAGCCCAGAGTGTACAGCTTCTGACTTTTCTGCATGGGTGTCTGTCATGGCCGAATTCCGCGACTACATCATACTTGGAGCAGATCTGAGGCGTGAAGTGGCGTAGTGCGTACACTGAGCTGCAGTTGTGCAGAAAGAGACCTGCTGGAATCCTGCTTGTACGCACTACATTGCTAAAATGATGTAATCACGGAATTTCGCCCTGGCAGCAACCCTTCAGAGCTGCACACTATGGGATTCATGTACTCTTGCAATGGGCAATATGATGTTGGCTATGTTGGTTCCACTGTTCATATGCCACGTTCACTTTCTACACAAAATGCAGTCTGTGACAACAGATGTGAACACCCCGCTCTACTCACTCATTCTGGTGGATAGTGTTGTGTAGAGCTGTGCCGCTTTCCAGCTGCTGCTGCTCGCTTCGGTCAGACATGAGCTCAAAGCCAGTCTCCACATCCCCAGTGAACATGGAACTGAAGTTAGACCACACGCCTGAACACACACACACACAGCACACAACACACAACACACAGACACACAGCACACAACACACAGGCACACAGCACACAACACACAGGCACATAGCACACAGCAATGGGACACAAATAGTTGTTGTTGAAATACATGTATAGTGGTGGTGGTCTGGGGAGAACAAGAGACAGAGAGAGAAGGGGGGGGGGGGGGAGAACAAGACAAAAGAGAGAGATAGAGATAGAGTCAGGCATCGAATGTGAAAAATCGTAAACGCCACCCAGAACTAAATGGCTGTTTTGGGTGACTCTACTCCGGCGAGCAGCAAGTCGATAGAGCCATCGCCTTATTCTCATTTGTACTTACGAGACTAAACACACACACACCCACGCACACACGTCTACGATCACATGGAAAGAGACAGCTGGCTGAGTGACCTGAAACGGGCGACCTAAAGGTAACGTACTCCTCGGACTGTTTTTGTCACTGACCCTGAAATCTAAATTTATTCGGCGTTTGCGCTCTGTATCTAAACCCTTCATCCGTACTCCTGGTCGGATGAAGTGCACTGGTACCCTGGGAAAACTACTCGCGTACCTCGTTTATTCGGGCAGTCCGGGACCGGGCACTGCCCCCAACTTTGTCCGTAACTCCGAATCACATACATTTTGATGGAGAGAGGCCATTGATATGGCATATGACGTGACTATCTCCACAAAAAGAGACAAGAGGGCTTTTTTCCTCCTAAAAAACCCGAATGAGCATGTTGTAGTTTTGTATTTTGATCGTTGGAGTCAGTCACGGCAACGATGCTTGCACAGGATTGTGAACGTTTGCACTGTTGAGCTTAAGCAAACACTGAAACCCGCCCACAGTATGCCCGTTAGACCGAAGTGCCCGTAATCTCGGGGCCCGGATAACTGAGGTATGAGTGTATTGTGACTTACGGCGATTGGCAAACATGGGGCAGTGCTTGTGAGGATTGAGATGCAGAAATCTTGCCGCACACTCAGACAAGGTTAAGAACTCTCCCTGGGAAGTAGAGAAAAGAAACAACCAGAGTCAAAGGATGACAGCCAAGATGCAAAGGAAAAAAAGCATGAGGGGAAGGGTGTGTGTGCGTGTGTGTGTGTGTGTGTGTGTGAGAGAGAGAGAGAGAGAGAGAGAGAGAGAGAGAGAGAGAGAGAGAGAGAGAGAGAGAGAGAGAGAGAGAGAGAGAGAGAGAGAGAGATAACAGTTAGAGGAGAGAGAGAGAGAGCACAAACAGACAGAGAGTGAGCCGAACAAGATAACATCGTAAAACAGCGCAGAATTGTGAATCGAGAGACAGCAGAGTGCAGTAAAATACAAAATGAAAAGTGACATTCCAGCCCCCCAGTGGGATGAATACAATTCACATCCCACCTGCATGTATATCCCACCAAACATACATGTACAGAACATGCATACCTGTCCACGCCACTGGAAAGACCCGCTCTCCGTCTTCTCAATACTCATGTTCTCCACGCTATCCACTGCACCATCACCAGTGACTCGCCTATACGAAACACAGATGCACAATGAAGAGCAGACAGAGCTAAAGCCGGACTCAATGAGAGAGGGAAAGACAACAACAACAACGACAAAGACAGATAGACAGAGAGAGAAAGAGAGTGAGTGAGAGAGAAGAGAGAGGCTGGTTGAATTAGTTCTAGGTCAAGAGCGAGATGATGGTGCTGGCCAGTATCTTACCGGCAGTACAAGGCATACATGTTCGGAGAGGATGTTCCTGTGATGACGAAAGATCCGTCGGAACCGCAAGCGCGCAACAGACTCTCGGCATCGTCTATTGACAAGGCTTCTTCCATCAGCCACCTACGAGAAACAATACCAAAGGAACACATACGCAGACCTTGAACCTTGGACACGCCTATTGCCGATGGCAATGATAGCCAAGGAGCTATCTGCGAGCTTTTGTACACACACACACACACACACACACACACACACACACACACACTCACACACACACACGTACACGTTTCAAAAGACCTGTCAATATAGTGAGAGGCATGCACTACAGACAAAAACCAGTTCCAGTCTGAGGAAAGGATGCTTTAAGCAGTGGTGCCTGCCAGTGCCTCCAGTCTCGCAAAGCTAAACGCATTGTCACAAATACTGTGAGAGGTACAGTACCGTGTTGTACACATCCAGGAGGCTAGAAGGTAGGATATTAGCCAGCACAGCATTTAACTACCCGGTACTCCTGGGTTCCTAACTAACCCAGGGTAGAAAGCGGCAGCAGCATTGTCAGCAGCACCATCAGCAATATCAACAGCAGCCTCAGCAGTATCAACTCAACAGCAGCAGCAGCAGTATCAACATCAGCCACAGTAGCAGCATCGGGAGCAGCAGCAATAGGAACAGCAGCTGCGCAGGGAGCAGCAGAAGCAGCACCAGCAGCTGCGCCGGGAGCAGCAGAAGCAGCAGCCGCGGCAGCAGCAGCATTAGCCACGGTCTGGGAACACTGCATATTACAACTAGAATAGCACACTAAATTTCCTCTAACATTTTTCAAAAGCCCAAGGCTCAACAAGGGATAATACCATGTACAGGAACAAGCTCAGATACACACGCACACATACATGTACAGGGAATTCGCAGCGACTCCACTAACCGGCTTTCGTGCAGGACAGCCGCTGCCCGATGCTCCTCCGTTTCCGGAGTGATAATAAGCGATGGTGCCTTGACCGTACTGGCCACATTCTGTCCTCTGGTCAGCTCATCTCCATCAACAGTGAGCACAGCTGCAAGATCAGAAGCAGTAAGAATAACAGCATGGATTGTAGCAGCACCAAACACAATAGCAACAGCAACGACTCAAACGAGTACACATCAGATAGGGGTCATGGCCAATAGAACGAACACAACACCGGATAGTCTGCGGTATCCGAAATTTAGAGACAGGCAGATACGACACACACACACACACACACACACACACACCACACCACACCGCACACAGAATCTGGGGAGGGAAGAGAGACTTCAGAATATAGCTAAGCATCACCAGAAAAGAAAGAAGAGAAAGCAGTTTGGGAAGCAGTGCGGCTGTGACCACCTACCTGATGAAGACTGGCCACCGGTGGTCATGTTATCACGCTGAGGAAGGTTTTGAACTCCTCCGACGACATTGCAACGCTCAATTGCATCCTCATAGCCAGGGGGTAAACTTGGCAAATGCTACAGCAGACACACACGCACACATACATACATACACACACGCACACATACATACACACACATACACACAACACGAAAGCAGAGAGAACAAACTAAAACAAACAACTAAGCAAAGTTCAACTAAAATTTGAAACGCTGAATTGAAATTTATGCTGAAAATTTTTTTGTGAAAAGTAGTGATTGAGTGTGAGCCAGTGTTGCGCACAAGCCAATTTTTACTTACGAAGCTGCGTGAGGCGTCCTGCAAGATTTTTTAAGCAAAGTTCACATGGAGAAAAGCATACTAATATGGTGTGCTCGGAAACACCACATTACTACAGTGAAACCTGTCTAAGACAACCGCTCAAGGGACCTTCAAAGCGTGGTCTCTGTTACCAGGTAGTCAGTGAAACCTGTCTAAGACAACCGCTCAAGGGACCTTCAAAGTGTGGTCTCTGTTACCAGGTAGTCAGTGAAACCTGTCTAAGACAACCGCTCAAGGGACCTTCAAAGTGCGGTCTTTGTTACCAGGTAGTCAGTGAAACCTGTCTAAGACAACCGCTCAAGGGACCTTCAAAGTGTGGTCTTTGTTACCAGGTAGTCAGTGAAACCTGTCTAAGACAACAGCTCAAGGGACCTTCAAAGTGTGGTCTCTGTTACCAGGTAGTCAGTGAAACCTGTCTAAGACAACCACTCAAGGGACCTTCAAAGTGCGGTCTTTGTTACCAAGTAGTCAGTGAAACCTGTCTAAGACAACCGCTCAAGGGACCTTCAAAGTGTGGTCTCTGTTACCAGGTAGTCAGTGAAACCTGTCTAAGACAACCGCTCGAGGGACCTTCAAAGTGCAGTCTCTGTTACCAGGTAGTCAATGAAACCTGTCTAAGACAACCGCTCAAGGGACTTTCAAAGTGCGGTCTCTGTTACCAGGTAGTCAGTGAAACCTGTCTAAGACAACCGCTCAAGGGACCTTCAAAGTGTGGTCTCTGTTACCAGGTAGTCAGTGAAACCTGTCTAAGACAACCGCTCAAGGGACCTTCAAAGTGTGGTCTCTGTTACCAGGTAGTCAGTGAAACCTGTCTAAGACAACCACTCAAGGGACCTTCAAAGTGTGGTCTCTGTTACCAGGTAGTCAGTGAAACCTGTCTAAGACAACCGCTCAAGGGACCTTCAAAGTGTGGTCTCTGTTACCAGGTAGTCAGTGAAACCTGTCTAAGACAACCACTCAAGGGACCTTCAAAGTGTGGTCTCTGTTACCAGGTAGTCAGTGAAACCTGTCTAAGACAACCGCTCAAGGGACTTTCAAAGTGTGGTCTCTGTTACCAGGTAGTCTCAAAGCGATTGTGACTGAGCCGCAATTCAACAGTACACACCCGGCGACAGTACACATTCCTCAGCCAGCGCGAGGTGGACACACACACACACTCCAAGCTATTCTCTGACAGGCAATGCTCCATGCTCACACAGGCACAAGATGCCAGAGCACTGTGCACTTCAAGTTAATAGCGGATAAACTGCTTCCCGTGGGGTACATCCAATCGGAGTTATACTGTAACTACAACATGGTCACGGGCCCCCAGGGAATTTCTACATGCACCCGGAAACCCAACCAAATTCATGTTCATTGGAATAACCAAGACAGGTTAGATGATGTCATCACCACAGGTCGGAGGATGTCCTTCTGAGCAGGACTGACAGCAGCTATATATGGCCTGCCACCGTCACCACCAACATCAACACCAGTCACTTGATAGAGGCAGGGTTGTAAAAGCACAGCTGATAGCCATGCATCACCCAGGCCAGATGGTGATACAGCACTCTACAGCCAATGCATGTTATGCTAACGTACAGCCCTCCCAACACTCCAGTACTGCCATAACTAAAGTGACAGTCTGTTCACGACTGTGGCCACAATACACACCCTCGAGGGCGGCCAGCGCAAAGACCAAGAGTGTCCATGCCTTGGTCACACACATACACATACACACACACACACACTGCACACACACACACACACACACACACACACACACACACACACACACACACACACACACACACACACACACACACACACACTCTCACATCACATACACACACATACACACCATTGGACCATTGGACGCCCATCGCCAGAGGCGATGATAGCGATGCTACAGCAGAAGCCATAGCAGCTTGTGCTGGGATTGCACCATTCAACAGCTTGCAAGGCTGAAGAATTGACCGCCACTATTCAGCCTGGTCTACACCACACAGCTATGAAGTGGCTTTTTCTGGCCAGTGAATCCCTACTTTTAGGTCTTTATATTTTTTTGTTCCCGCACACACATCACACCACATACTCCGGCATGCACTGGCTGTTGGTAACCACCCAGGAGAATGAACGAAAAGTTAAGAAGAGTCTGAGAAAGAGAAGAAAGATGTGTGTGACCATAATCGCCGGGAATTGAACCCGCAACCTATCGATTGGAAATCGCTGCACATACCACTGCACCATATGGGACACATACACACACACGCACACATACACACGCACACACACGCACGCATACACACACCAGCTCTCACGCAAAGGGCTGCATCGCACACCAGAATACCTGGCTGGCTATGGTTACCAGCTGGCTCAGTTTCTTCCACTGTTGACACGGTGAGGAGTGTAGCGGGGCTCTAAACACGTATACACCGAAGCACATGCAATGTGCAGGTGAAAGTATGAACATTGGAAGTGCACACCTGCGAAGTACACCTGTAGACGTGCAGTGGCATTTCCACCGGGACTATTTCAACAGCCAGACGGAGAAATTCCCGACAAGAAGATACTAAAAACACTCCTGACAAACGTGCTCTATTTCTTGCGCAAGCATCCTGTTTACAACTACCCACATGGCTACATTCCAAACTACAGAGAGAGAGAGAGAGAGAGAGAGAGAGAGAGAGAGAGAGAGAGAGAGAGAGAGAGAGAGAGAGAGAGAGAGAGAGAGAGAGTGAGGAGGAGGAAGAGGAGAGGGAGGAAAGATAGATAGATAGAGGGCCCAGAGAGGGTGCAGCCAATTTCTTATTCAGTTGCCGCCTCAGTGGCTCACCCATACGGGGTTTGGAGGCGTTCATTTGTAAAGCGTAGGCGGATAGCAGACGAACAGGGTGCATGGTACGCCCTGTACTTTGCCAATAGCATTCACGCGCCGGGTGCCGTTTGCACGCCCAGTACTGCGGGATGGGAGACGTGCCTGGTGCCCGTATACCAAAAACGGATGTGATGATGTCATAGGCTCTGATTATGGTGCGCGTGCATGATGTCCACAAGAACCCATCAAATATTTGTCAACGGCTGAACTGCCATTTCATATTGGCCTGCGCTAAGTCAGTTAACTGCGTCATCGACTTGGTGAAAACAAATCATGTACATCTGCTGGGCAGAATTCCTGCCTGAATGCCTGACTCGTGAGAAGCAGGACTCAAACCCCAAGTACAGTACTGTACAACTACACACTGGATGCCGATTCTAGCACATTTTCAGTGGAGCAGCAAAGTGCCCGGTGGCCAAAACGCCCGTGCTGCTGCAAGTCTACTGAATTTCTACTGAACTCATTACACTCAATAACCGCAATCGCAACAGTTTAAGGTTGGTAGTCGTCAGCACAGGCATGGATCTGGCGCTCGTGACGGCGCAGAACGCACAGATACTGGCCGGCCCATTCACTAAGAAAAAGAAAATAAAAAAAAAGAAAACGTAAAACTGTTTCCTGGCCACATGGCCGTGTATGGACTGCAGTGGGTGCAGGCACGTACAATTACTGATGTATTGCTCATGTTCGGACATGACAAATATGTCGGCTGAAATCAGGAATGCTTCAATGTGAAGTACAAGAGTACTACTTGAAAGTACATCAGCTCCTATGATCCTGCATACCGCCACAGGTGGCTTTCCAGCAGGAGCAAGAGTACAGAGTGCAAGTCACGAGTGCTCAGACACCTAGTCACCTACACTACAGCATTCTCACAACATTGTATACATATATACAGTCGTGTAACCAACTACTTACTGGCTTTCAATGATCTAATGACAGCTGATGCTCTCCCTAAGAAGAGTACTGGTAGAAGTAAGCTATACTTATAGCCTAGAACTCAGCAGCTGGTCAAAGCCAGTGGTATTTTTCTGTTGTTTTACGTTTAGGAAACCATCCTCCGCAACTCTCTTGCTCGCTATCCACTACTACTCCAGTCCAGTCCAGCTGAGCATACTGATTCAAACACTAAAATGACTTGTACTGCTAGTACTAGTACTACTGCTAGCAACCAAGAGCGGAGTGACACTTCATGCGGGAAAATAATCCCCGTCACGTTTCCTGAAACGAGCAGCAAGCAGTAGATAAAGCACAAAGAGGAAAGGAAACTACTTCACAACTACATTGAACTGCACAACGCCCGCCTGTTCGAACTGTACCGGCGGTCCCAAAGAGGGATTTTCGGCATTGCCGTGATTGCGTACTGCACAACCAGGACCATATGCTCACCGAACCAAAGCCGGACATTTGCCCAGAACAAACCCGCGATTATTACAGCTCAAACAAATACTTCACTCGCCCAATACACGAACATGACATTACAGAACTGCTGATTATCTACCCAATACGAATCACAGCAAAAGTCTTGAGAAAGTTTTGGGTGCTCAAACAAAGAAAGTTTGAAACTAACCTCTACAGAGTGCATTGTTTAGAGCAACAAACGCAACTGGTAGAAAATATCACCAGCATACAAATGATGCTTACATGTGGATCTGTCATTATACTAGCCTAACTAGGTCTACTCACCGACACATCAGGAACACCAGCCATCCAACCACCAGTTCTCGAAAATCCCAGTGGAGAACACTACAGCACAAGGTCACCGCGTAGATCTACTCCTGGTTCAGCAAAACAGCTACGTCGATATGCGATGGCAGAAGAATAGAGATCACAGTGGATTCCACCTACTACCAGTACTTGTAAATGGGACAGACAGCACCAGGGCTGTTGAACCAGAATGATAAAGCCAAGGACAATGTGTCGTCGGGTTGCGTTGGCAAAGATCCTTCAGTAATTTATATTGCCAGTATGAAGTACGGGATTATGCCTGGACGGCTACTCATTGAATCTCCTCGACAGCTCACTGAAGACTGAAGTGCAATTTCTACATTGTATTCGAAGAGCAACTGACTTCTCCGCCACCACTTCCTCGTAGCAGCCAAGGCAGTGGAAGCATCCGCAACTCTTGGACCGCTTGTCAACTGCCCAAAAAAAAGCTTCAGAACATGGGGCAGTCTGCGCTTTTCGTGCGAAGTCTCGCTGGCTCCTTCACCCCTTCAAATCAGCGCACTCCATCTCTACACTGCACTGAATACTATGGAGTATGGTCTACACAGCTGAGCTGAGTCTACCTGTACATGATTATTGTCATGATTGTGTGTGTGAGTGTGTGTGTGTGTGTAGCTGTACGAGTGCGTCTAGACGTCTGTGTGTGACTGATACATGTATGAGCACAGTTCTACAGTTGTAGCACTGGCCACTGCACTACAGTCTACGTCTTGAAGAGAGAAACTTTGCGCGAGAAACTAGTTACTTTCGCAACTTTGGAGTTTGGATGCAAAACTTGCAGGGAACGCGAGTGCGAAATGAACTTTCGTGGGAAATAAATTCCGTGAGATCGCGAAACTTCGTTCGAATTTCCGTATCACCATTGTCATGACGACTACTAAAAAAATGGCGTGGGAGCTGAGCTCGGCTGGCTATCACGAGCCACAGCAGGCTACTTGTGCTTGTTGTTGAATGGTGGTCAAGAAGGAGAAAGCTGAACGCTGAATAACGCTGAAAGAAAAGATGCCGTCTGCTGCTGCCAAGCCCTCCAACGGTGCTGGTGTCGAGGTCCAGGAAGGATTCCCTGCTCAATGTCTAGCCGTAGCTGACAGGAAGGTGCGAAATCTGGAGAAGCGACGTGGCAAATTGTTGCAGCTTCAGGATGACGAGAAAAATGGAAAAGTTCTCAACGAGGAGCAACGAGGAGCTATCTCCCATTTGGAGGAAGTTGAGCAAATGTTGGAATTATCCAGGGACGTTCAAAAGCAATACAAGCAGCTTGCCGACCAGTACGAGAAGACGGCGCGTCGCTCCGTTCGCCTTGAAAAGGCAGCCAAACGAGAAGCAGACGTCTCCATGCTCTGCAAGCTCGTTCGCCTGCTGTCCGTGCTGGATGGTGTGAGTCCTGAATCGCGCGACGACTTTATCGAGGGAAAGAACGGTGCGTGCAAGCTTAGTGAGGAGGAACTGAACAGTTTGGACGCCTTTTACAACTTGTCCAAGCCCGCACGTGCAGGTGAATGCGAGGAGACTTTCTCTACAGCTATCTCAGGCAGTGGTGAACACCTGATGTTGCTCCTGGAACGCAGTACTAAGGAAGTTGCTGGAACCACGTACGACAAGCTCTTTGCCATTACGGAGCGCATTGAGAAGAGTGACTACCTGTTTTCGAGCAAGGATGAGTTGACAGGTGAGACCGAGGAGGCAGGTTCCGATGAGGTGGAGTATGCCGCCGCCGCCGAGGAACAGACCGACTCTGCACTTTGCGCACCAGCACCGGCTGATGAGGTGGTGGCAGTGGTGGACGAGCCTGTAGCTGCTGCAGCAGCAGTTGCCTCTCCCGCTGTTGCTGTCAGCAAACCACCCACCATTGACTTCTTACACGAGTCGACCGTAAAGCCACAAGGCGGCAGACGGGCTGCAAGCCCGTCTTCTCCTGCCGTCGCTGCTGCTGCTGACACCACAACCCGCACGTTCAGCAGTGACTCGACGTCATCGGGAGAGGCTCAGCCAGCCGCCGCCACTGAGGCCGCAGCAGGCGGTGCAGCAGCTGCGTCGCCAAGCTCTTCTGGCGACGCTTGGTCGTCGACGGATTCGTCACGCCAACAGCGCAATCGCAACCGCAGCGGCAACCCTGAACAGCGCGGCGGCCGAGGCGGTCGCGGTGGACGTGGTGGTCGCGGCGGATTTAACCGCGACGGCGGCAGCAACGAGGGAGGATTCTACCGCGGCGGCAACAACGACCGTCGCGGCGGCGGCTACGGCGGTGGCTTCAACCAGCGCGGAGGACGCGGTGGTCGCGGCGGAAACCGTGGCGGCGGCGGCAGCGGTGGTCGCGGCGGCAACCGAGGTGGTGGCCGTGGTGGCGGCTCCAGCTCCAGTGGCAGTGAATACCAGTCCGGCGGCTTCTAAGCTCTTTTCAGCAGCAAGGGCGGCATAGGCAATCTCCGTTTCGCCCGTAAATGGTCTACAGTTGCAATCAGTACCACGTGTTCGAGTGCCTATGTCGAGTGTGGTATTGTTGCTTTGGAGGGCAACGCAGCAGCAGCGGCAAAACTCCTTTCTAAGACAGCGTGACGACGTTCACTAAAAACAACAACAACAACACCACCAGCGACAACCATCTCCAAAGTTAGCCATCATGCAACATCTACATCTCTTTTTTATACTCTTTTTCGCCCGTTTCTGCTTGTATCTCACTGTCACTACTACTCTCTAATTCCCCCTACACCAGTGTAGATAACCCGTCAAACCTCCCTGGTGCCTATTGTAAGCGAAGAGTAGGATCCAGGCCAGGGCGGCGCCTCTTTCTGCGCATTGTCTCCACCGGCAATCGTGTGAGGACATTGCTTGAGGCCAGTCTTTTTTGATTTTGTGTTTTAGCTGTGTTCTTCCTGTGCTTTTTTGTTTCTGTTTTTTTTTTGTTAACGGTGTTCTCCTTTCTTTTCTCAGGCCTAGCTGTGTGCAGCAGGTAATTCGTCTTCCTTGGTTTTTGAGACCGTACATATGGTCCTATCGCTTGTTTCCGGCAATTACCCTGCAGCCTATGGCTTGGCATTGTTTTTGTACTGCCACAGACCTCGCCTTCGTTCCATTTTTCTACCGGGCGCTGTCGGTTTTTTCCGGCGTGCGTGTGTGTGAGCGAGAGAGAAGACAGGAGCTTGTATAATAGTGGTGATGCCGGCCAACCGCTATTTTGAACTTGTTCTCCTTCCTGCCTTGCTGTGTGTGTGCTGTGCCCGGGCTTTTTCGTGTACACGTGGCTATTTTCGTACTGTATGTTTTGTCCTGTGTTTGTCCTGTGTTAACTCTGCCTACTGAAAACTGCGTGCAGGTTATTTCTTTTGCCTCTGCTTTTCTGATAACTTTTGTCACTTGTTTGTTTTTGTCTGTTGTTTCGTGCTGTTGCATTTAACTCTTGTTTGAAGCTGGCTTTACAGCTAATAACCGTGTCCTGACTCGTGCTGCGATGAAGCATGTGTGTGTATGTGTGTGTTGAAAGATGCAATCCCAGCCCAGATTTTTTTTCTACACCATCACCTACAATAGGCTGACATGCAGGTATGGTTCTTGTGTATGTGTGAGTGTGTGTATGTATGTGTGAGCGGTGTGTGAGTGTGTATTATAATATGTGTGAGCGGTGTGTATGGCACATGGTGTAAAGAGACGTTCCCACTTCTGCTTTGTCTGATACCGCTATCATCCTGACTGTGGATGGGTGTTCAAGATGAGGTGTGTGTGTGTACATGTGTGTGTGTGTGTATGTGTGTGTGCATGTGCAGCCCGCTGCTTTCGGACTGTGCAAGGCCGTGGTCGTCACCGGTGCTCGAGGACTGGCCCGCGCCCGACTGCCCAGCAGCGTAATTCGTTCAGTCATGTATGCGTGTGTTCTCGCCTGTTCCGTTTGCTCCACCATCTCCGGCGTCATCAGGCTGCGTGCTCCATCTTCCTCTCTGATGCCCCTCTGGGGCCCACGTGACCCCTGTGGCAGTGGCAGGACAGGACAGGTATGTGCATGTGTGTGTGTGTGTGTGTGTGTGTGTTCAAATCCACCCTAGTTTGGGGATTTCAGGGGGTGTCGGCCGTTGGGTGGTTCAATGGCCAATTGAGTCATCTTTCCAAGATTCCTTTTGAGTCTCTCTCCCCTATCCCGGGGAGACCCACGTGACCAGTTTTGGCAGTGAGCAAGTACAAGTGTGTGTTTGTGTGTGTGTGTGTGTGTATGTGTTTGTGTACATGTACATCTGCATCACTCCATCAGTGTTTGTGGGATTCTGAGTCTATTTCCCATGTTTGCTCGTCGACCCCCCCCCCCCCCCCCCACACACACACAACCCCTACATACTAGAGAGGTTCCGGGGTACGATTTTCCGTGCCAAAATCTGTATGGGCGCTACGGATTTTTTCCAGGCGTGCTCCATACGATTTTTCGGCACGAGAATCCGTGTAGACTGGCTTTCATATGAACCATGCTTCGTATGGAGATTTTGCGTCATCGGGTGCAGAAAGATTTTTCGCGTACAAATTTGGTACGAGAAACATCGATTTTTCGCGGGAAGTTTTGATTTCGGTACAAATTTTCAAAATATAAAGGCATAGCGCGGGAATGTGACGTGTTTGCGATCGTAACCTAGGCAATGACGGCAAACACATAAGTTCCGTACCCCGGAACTTTTCACTGCTCGAAAACGACGTATAAAAAATCCGTAGAGCCTCCACGGATTTTGGCACGAAAAATCGTACTCCGGAACCTCCCTACTAGGGCCAGTAGGGGAAGTAATAATTATAGTATGCATGCATGTATGTACATGTACATGCCTTAGCTTTACATGCGAGAAGTCACTGTTTTTGGGCGGAAGCGAGAGATACTTTTTTCCCTCTTGCATATTTATTAAAACATGTGAAAGCATGTGCGTATGATTATTGATAATTATTATGGATGTCCACCGAACCATAACAAATGCGTATGGCCGGTAGCCCTTTCCCAAAGGTGCTCGGCCCTTTTTGGCCCTTTTGGAAAAGCCCGTTTCTTTCGCCCTTTATTGCGTTTTTTGATGAATATCGCCTTTTTTGAGCTTATTAAAAAGTGCTAAAAACTGTTTGCTCATGCATGCGATCACAGTTTCCGAGTGCTGGATGGGCCTTGAAAGTTGGCACGCCGCTTTTTTGGGGGCAACAAGTAAGTTGGTGAAGCTTGTACACGGTGGTTTTTTTAAACTTTACTTCCTGTTTTGCCTTTCGTGGACCCATAAATGGAAGAGTGCGTATTGATTTCTCAGCTTGGGTTAATATCTGAACATGAATCATGGCTATGCTTCACTGAAAAAAGAGCACTGTTTGCCTGTTTTGACTGAAAAAGAGCACTTTTCAGCATATTTTGAGGGACGCGAAAAGCACTAAGTGCGAATTAAAAGAGCACCTTTGGGAAAGGGCTAATGGCCGGGCCCTTTATGAGTGCAAGCAGAGGCCAGCTTTTCTTGTATTTTCTTGTTTGCCTTACTGCTGGTACTGTCTGCATGGACATTCCCACCCGACTTGTGTGAAATGTGATTCTGCATGGCATCAACTGTACATGATCAATGGCAGTGTTCCAACTGTAACTGCCCGGTGATTGTTTTTGTTCATGTCTTTATAGGCAATTACCACATGTGCTTGCACTATTTGCAAGAGTAAGGAGGTTATAATTATACTGTTACAGTCATGTACATGTACATGTACATGTACTTGTACTTGGGTTTACACTTACAGCTGTTGTTCGGACCCGAGAGTAGTACTGTACTTCCTGGTTTGGACTGATCCACATGTACGGACGTTTCACGTTGGGAAATGACAGTGGGTGTGTGTGTGTGTGTGTGTGCGTGCGTGTGTGTGTGTGTGTGATTCTGCCGTAGCATTGCTATCATCGCCTCAGGCGATGGGCATCAAAAGGTGTGTGTGTGTGTGTGTCACAGTGCATGTGTGTGTGTATGCATGTGTGTGTGACGAAAGTGCTCCGTGAACAGTTGTCATTGACATTGTGTACATTTACTGTTTTTGTCACACAGAACAACAAGGTGCAAGGCTGGTGTACATGTACATGTATGTGTACATTGAAGAACATTGCCATGGTAACATGGTCACTGTTCAAGTGTTGTTGGTTTTTTGTTTAGAACATCAACCCCCTCGTTTACGAGCAAAAACCAACTGATACAGCTTGTGTTGATGTTTAGCAAAAGAGGAACAGAAGAAAACTGAGCCAAAATGTACTGTGCTGGGAAACACGCCCCAGGGCAGCTGACATGGTCAAGGAAAGAAAGGACATATTTATGTAGTATACATGTACGTATTAGATAAAACTTGTATTGTAGAAACCTGCTTTTTACTTTGCCAGCATATTAATTATTATAAGGTGGTGGAGCACCGTGTTCGGAAGTAGTGCGTGTTTCCGAATACGGTGTTCCACCACGTTGTATTATGCTGTCAGACTAAAAAGCGAGTTTTTTGTTTTTGTTTTTTTACTAAGGCCACAGCTTCCAATCATGACATGCAAAGCAGCGGTGCAGCATCGCAGCCGTGAATCGTGGACGTGGTGACGGGGTCTGATGTGCTCCACCGACCTATGGTCTCGGCTTTACTGCACAGCAAACGCGTCGAAAGAAAACGGGGAGTTAAGGGGGGAATGACCCTTCGCGCACGCCATACTGGACCGTACATGTCCGAAAGAACACAACTTCCGTTTCCTTCAATATTTCTTGAAGAAATTTTCACCATGTCTTGATGGAATAACATACAACAGATCAATGGCACTCTGAATGAAAATAAACTAAAGACAGTTGGAAGATTTGACAACAAAAGGATAATTATCGCACAACGGACAAAAGCTAAACGGTGCGCAATTTTATCAGAATGTAGTTCATCAGAATCATCTCTTTCAGCCCTAGATATTTAGATTACAGGTACACGCAGTGCGTTTGCCTAATATCCCACAGTCCTAAACATCAGTGGTCTCGGTTTTACTGCACAGCAAACGCGTCGAAAGAAAACGGGGAGTTAATAATTATCGGGAGATGGGGGGGGAGGGAGAAGGAGAGAGAGAGAGAGAGAGAGAGAGAGAGAGAGAGAGAGAGAAAGAGAGAGAGAGAGAGAGAGAGAGAGAGAGAGAGAAAGACAGAGAGAGAAAGACAGAGAGAGAGAGAGAAAGACAGAGAGAGAGAGAGAAAGACAGAGAGAGAGAGAGATGGGAGATAGAAGAGTGTATAGTATACTTATACAGTAAAAATTATAGTGCGATACACATGGAAGTTAGCCGACAGGGCCGACACCATCGCAAATTGCCAGCCCAAAGGCAAAGAGACAAGAACGTGACCCCCGAAGACGAAGGTCGACAGGGGACGACAGCCGGGAAAACTGCGTGCATCCGCACCCAGGACATGACGTTGCTGGAGGACTTGTCCCACTTGGATCATTGGTCCTTTTTGGAGGCTAGCCACATAGCGAGTCGCTGACGCGGCTGTTGATACGCAGAGTAGTACTCCGTGTGTAGTGCAGTGCACCATCTGTTCAGCAGACAAGCGGGGTGAAGGACGCTCTCAGCTCCTCTGCGGCCGCCTTGTACTTTCTCTTCTTGCTAGCCTAGAGGCAGCAAGAAGAGGCAGCACTGTTGGACAAGGCGTTCCATGAAAGGGTTGAGCGCACGTACATGTAACTGGGTGAGGCAGCATCCACGATGCTGCATACGGTTATCGAAGTACGCCACCCTATCTCCCTCCTAACCTCCGCGGACCAGCCCATCAGTCTGCAGTGTGGGACGGTTGTTGCCATCCTGCATCGGTACCATCACGGGCTCGACAATCATGGAGCCACACCACCCCAGGCAACGTCTGCCAGCCGGGCATCGAAGTCACGGACATAGTTGTACCCGCGCTTGAGGAGCCCACCCTTGATTAATACAGTCCAGCCCATGCTGTAGGGAGAAAGCAGCTCCGCAGCCATCGCAATGCAACGGGAGGTCATTCAGCTCCATGTCATACGGGTCATCCTAATACAGTTATTATTATTATTATTATTATACCCTTCCTGCCCCAGAGGAAGCACAGTCAACCAGCCGGACGCGTTGCCGGCAACGATGCGGTTGATGGTCCGCTGTTGGTGAGGCGGAAGTGCAGCGTGGAGGACTCGACTACGTTCCAACAGATCTTGCTCGATGTCCAACACCACACTACATCGAAACAATCACCACCAAATTTCGCCAACGCGTGGTACTACTTGCCCACATGTCGAGCCGCCTAACGCCGGAAGTTACAAACCGGCTTTATACTGGTTATGTCCGACCCACCATTGAATACGCCTCGCCACTGTGGCAGTTCCAACTGTCCGCATCCCAAGCGGCGGTGCTTGAGCGTCTGCAGGCCAGATTGGCACGAGTCGTCTTGAGACAGTACGGTGTGTTTCCCTCCGCTACTGAACCGAAGGC